ATGCTGTCGATGTAGTTTTCGAAAATGGCCTCCTTTTTATTATTACGCCACCGCATTTCGACTTATTTAAGTTTTACGGATTTATTCCATATAAGAGTGTATTCTTATGTTTCCGGAGCCGTAGATTTTGAAAATGACCTCCATTTTAAGATTACACCACTGCGTTTCGACATTTTCAAGTTTTTCGGATTTATTCGATATAAGGGTGTATTGTTATGTTTCCAGAGCCGTAGATTTTGAAAATGATCTCCATTTTATGATTGCATCACTACTTTTTGACTTATTCAAGTTTTTCGAATTTATCCAATATAAAGGTCTACTTTCATGTTTCCGGAGCCGTAGATTTTGAAAATGACCTCCATTTTAAGATTACGCCACTGTGTTTGGACTTGTTTAAGTTTTTCGGATTTATTCGATATAAGGGTGTATTGTTATGTTTCCAGAGCCGTAGATTTTGAAAATGATCTCCATTTTATGATTGCATCACTACTTTTTGACTTATTCAAGTTTTTCGAATTTATCCAATATAAAGGTCTACTTTTATGTTTCTGAAGCCGTAGATTTCGAAAATGAACTTCATTTTAAGATTATGCCACAGTGTTTTGTATTATAAACGTTTTTGTATTTTTTTTTTAATTATTCGGTATACGGATCTATTTATATGTTATCGGAGACGTAATATTTGAAATTTTTCGAAGCTCTAATATTTAAATTTATTTAATCTACATTTTATGATCACGCCGCTGCATCTCGATTAATTAAACTTTATTTTGGATTTTTTCAATGCAAAGTTTCATCGATATATTTTCGAGTATGAATAAATAAATATTATGATGAGGCTAAGGTTAAAATAACTATTAAACAAAGTAAAAAGCAACTAGATCAATAAATTTAACCTAACATATTCAGATTTGTAAGCTAATTGTTCGAAATCTTATAATTTTGTAAGAGGAGACCACAAATTTAAAAAAGATAACTAAAATTAAATTAAAAATGAGACAATAAATATTTCATTTGTTTCGGTTGAAGAATAAATTAACCCTTCGGATTTTTTTTTTCAAAGGAAAAATCAAAAACACTTAAACAAACCGAATCACAGTGGCCTAATCTTAAAATGGAGGTCATTTTCAAAAACCACGGCTTCAGAAATATAAAAGTAGACCCTTATATAGCATAAATTAGAAAAACTTGAATAAGTCGGAACGGAGTGGCGTAATCTTTAAATGGAGATCATTTTCAAAATCTACAGCTCCGGAAACATAAGAATACACCCTTATATCGAATAAATCCAAACAAATTTGAAATAGAAACAGTTGAATTTGAATTGAAAAAGGTTTAATTTGAAATGGAAATGGTTGAATTTTACTTGAAAAAAGTTTAATTTGATTTGGAAAATGTTAAATTTGACTTGGAAAATGTTGAATTTTACTTTGAAAGCTCTATATAAAAGTATTTCATGGATGTTAACAACATATCTATAATCTTAAATACATTTGTGGTAGTTTAATAACTCTAGATCTAATATATTTAAATAATTAGGTATACATTGTCGATTTATTCCAAACAACTTTCCCTTTGTGAAATCACATTATCCACTTACAATTACTGTGGCAACTTTTGACCTATCGAAGTATTTAAAAGCAAGTAAACTATGTTGGAAAATTTTCCAAAAATTGAAATAATAATCTGGTGTGTCTACTCACACAACTTTCCTACCTATTTCAGAAAAGTTTTTATATCTTTACATATGTTCATGAAGGAACAAAAAAGAATTGAACTAGATAAATTTTAATGAAAATTGATCTAACATAAGATTTGAGTACGATTTATTTGATAAACTAAAGCAATGTAAACCGTTTAACAGTTAATTTCTGTTAAATGTAGAGGAAATCACATTATCCAGTTAAATGTAGAGGAAATAGTGAAGATTGTGTGTTGCGGGCAACAGATTTTCTTACATTCACTTAGTCATCTTTATTCTCTCATTCACCCGTTTCTGACACCAGAATATGAAAACGTAATCTTACATTGGAAATTGAATAGCCTTAACTTCGTTAATAGTTGTCCAAAATGAACGATTTTTATATGGCTTTGTAGGAAATTTCATTACCTTTCAAACGGCGTATCTATAGAAAACCATGTTTTCCATTTATTGCGCATGGAGCACCTAATTGTCTATCACAGGCATCGGTAGTCAAAACCCTACAAAACAAAAAAAGAAACAAAATCGGTTCAGTAGTTCCCAAGAAAATCTTGGCACAGACAGACAGACAGATCAATGGCTAAAAATGTGTTTTTCGGACTCAGGGGGCTGTGAAACGTATAGATCCGTCAAAAACCGCATGTCGGAAATTTGAGCCGATTGCAATACTTTCCTTACCTAGTATAGGTAGGAAAATTAGTTTTGTTGGAAATTTAATTACCTTTCAAAAGTTTTATTATAACTTTTACCGTATAACATTTACTTAGGAAGTTAGGCCCCATAACATTTTCTTTTTCTTTATAACTTTTTTTCTTGATTTTTTTCGGGAATTTAGTCTATATACGAAAATTGAAAGGACAATGATTAGAACATTATAGGAAAGTTCCATCAAAGTTGTTAGAGACGTTTTTGCGTTACAGTCTATTGAAAAACATGTTTTTCATTTATTGCGTGCAAGCTATTGCGCATGAAGCACCGAATTTCTGTCACAGGCATCGGTAGTCAAAACCCTACAAAATAAAAAAAGAAACAACAAAATCGGTCGGTAGTTCCCGAGAAAATCTTGGCACAGATAGACAGACAGACCAATGGCTAAAAATGTGTTTTTCGGACTCAGGGTGCTCTGAAACGTATAGATCCGTCGAAAACCGCATGTCGGAAATTTGACCCGATTGCAATACCTACTAGTATAGGTAGGAAAATAAAAAAAAAAAAATATGGGTAAAAAATAAGAATTTAAATACATGTTAAAAGTGATAGAGATTTAATAACTATAATTTTTACTATGTAGTACAATTATTACTTATTTATAATTAAATATGTGTACTTTCAAATCTCTCTTAGTCTATAGAGCTCAGTGACTGGAGTTATGTGATTCAAGTAGACTGATGCAGTTATAAGGTTTTTATTGCCTACCATCAACATAATAAATAGGGTTTATATTATTTTGATGGTCTTACTGAGTTTTGTGTATTGATTAATATGATCGAAATTAAAAAATATGTTGTTTAAGGTTTAGCTGCATTAAAAACTCGCTTCAAAACCTTGTAATAGATCGATTTTGCCAGACAAGAATTACGTGTGATGCACGCAGCAGATTTTTTACATTCGCACTTCCTCTGACAATATATTTTATACACTGGCAAGCATAAGTTTTTTTTTAATCTATCAAAAAAAAGCATGTTAAAATTACATGCTTGCGTCAACCCTAGTTTTGAATGATATTCCAGTTGTGGGTACTCAACTGTCTTGAAGAGGTTTAATCTACTGCTTATAGCCTAGTAGGCAATTTTATCTTTGTTTCTTAAAATGTAAGTTATTGTGGGCGAATGAACATTATAACTTTGCAACACAACAATTTGTTTTTTAACACCGACCACTGCTCCAGGGACGCCTATAAGGAGATTTCATAGCGCAAGTTGCGCCATAAAAATTATTGAAAGAGGTACATTTTGATGCGATTGACATTTTGACAGCGTCATGAATTTTTGTAATGAAAAAATTCAAACTACCAGACTTGTCTAGTTTCCTTGGGGAAAACATGGAATACACAACAGCAAGTGTAATTGTAGATGATCTACTATTTTCTTAATTCTACTTTCGCTTACCTTGTTTTTAAGATGAGAAGAGCTGTCAAATATCTTGTGGAGGATGGACACCTTTGCACTAGTCTAGTGATATCTTGTTTTTCCTAGATAAAAGAAGATTGTTTAGACCTTCTCAGAGCCATGTCAAACATCATATTAGTTTAAAAGATAGGGCCTGGAATAGGAAAAAAAAAGAAGAAGAAATTCATAGAAACGGTAATCTCTCACTCCTCTTAAAGGGATTAAGACCTGAACAATTATTTTGTTTTTTAATTCAAAGTATAACGTTTAAAATATTATGAAGACTAAAATATATATGAATTATTGAGGGGACCAACGAATCCATAGGAATTAATGAGATTATACTTATTATATCCCTTCAAAATTAGGAGAAACTATTCTAATATATTACATATCTCTATCCCTTAAACAGGGGCCACAGTGGTCGGGTGAGCTAAGGTGCTTGCAAAATTTTATATCAAGTGTTCAAATCCCGTTTGCGGGAATTAATAACACAAAAAATAAATAAATAAAATAATTAAGTCCAGGCCCCCTACTAGACTACTTAGTTAGACCACTACGGTGCAGGTTTGATTCCCGCATGGAGATGTTAACGTCCCCACCCTTCATAGGGAAGTGAGCGACCCCTGTGTCTAGTAGGAAGTAGCTCCTGGTCCTCCAGGTTGGGAGTTGGGTATAGGGCTAATAATCCTCCAACCATATAAAATTGGAGCATGGAACCCATGGAAAATTGAAGCAAAAAAGTTCCTGATGAAGAGGGAATGAATGTGATAGCATAAGGTTAACAAACCACGTGCTCCCTGGATATCTCGACGAAGAGAGAACAAAACGATCACTACTGTGGCTATATCAGCCCCAAGCAGCTGAAGAAGACTCATGACTTAAAAAGTCTAACTCATTAGGCGTAGGGGAAAAAAAATCTAACCAGATAGTGGGGGTTTAGAACTGATTATTTCATTTATTATTTCTAGTTGTCCAATAAACATGGGCCAGGAATTTTGTCAAACCTGCTGATAGCACACAAGCATTACTGCTTTTTGTGATTAATTTGAGGATTTGTTTTAATTTTTTTCAGCATGAATTATATCTATTTAGTTTTGTTTTTTGTTATTCTATACAAATAATAGAATTCATTCATATACAGGGCAACTCTCTTTTGCTTCTGTTTTTAATCAAAATTGTTTTTTCAGATGATAAAACGAAGTACAATGGAAGAGCAAATGATACAGTGTACTGGCTTTGAAGCTTCAACAAATTACAACCACGGTAATACAACCATTTATTGACAGATCCTATGTTTGGCTTAATATTATTATTGTTATTTTTTAGATTTCTAATGAATGTAATATTTGTGAGATGATGAAGAGGACTATATTTTCATCTGTTATGTGTGTTCGTAATTGTTGGCTATTGTATAGTGAGAAGATTTGACAGTTGTAGTCTCTGTGTAGATCGTCTCTATAAAGAGAATCCAAAAGGACTGAATCTTCTTTCAGTATTATATGGCCTGTGGGGGAATCATTCTTCATATTTTCTAGATTATGATGGAAAACTTCAATTAAAAAAATAGTTAAAAAGAAATCCTTAGTTTCATATGTTTTGCTAGAGCAAAAGTAGATTGATTACAGCATCACTCATGATTAGTGTCAGGTTCTGTTGGCTGGAATAAAAGAAAAAAAAAACGAACTGTTATTTTTGCCCATTTAAAGGTTTGAAACCTTATGAAGAGAAGGGACACCTATTTCACAGTGTCTAGCTACCAGAAATTCCTTTAAAACCACCGGATACTTTATACAAAGTTTATGATTGCTTGAAAATTTATGTGTATACTCTTCAAACCTGTAGGTATTGCTTTGGGGATACTTAATTGAAATCTTGAGGATTGAAAAATTCAACACCAAAAAATAATACAGGATGAATGCCTAATAGTGGATGAAGATGATTTGAATTTGATTTCTCAGAACTCAAAAAATGTTACATATCACCTATATTCACTTGGCCCTTCAAATATACACGTAGATCCTGGAATGGGAATCATTAAAAAAATATAAAGTTGTCAGTTACTCAGTTTTTTTTTCTCCTTCGGTTTAATCTGAGAATTTTAAGCTCTCAAAAATCAACCTGTTATGGGCTTAACTGGTTTACGATCATTTTTTTTCCTACAAACAAAATTGTTCGAATTAGAAGGGAAAAGTGGAATAACTGACATTTAATTTTTTGGGGTTTTAGCACAAAACAAAATAATTAAAAGAGCAAAAAGTGCAGTAATATGAAATAAACCAAGAGTTGGACACAAATTATTTGTTACGAATAATTAAAAATTATAACTCATTTAGTTGAAAATATAACTAAACCATTAGGTGTTATTTGTTGAGCTATGACACAACAATTTGCGTTAACATTTATTTACTTATATTCTTAGTTGCTGAATAACAATTAATTTTGTTTTCCAGACACTTGAAATTTGTTTTCATAAGCTTAGCTCCTTCCTAATTTGATCTCTGATTTTTTTGCATGTATTTCCAGCCTGCCAGTCATGTTCAATGGTTTGTAGTGTTTCTTTTACAAATTCTTTCATTTTTAATTTTCCTGTTTATTTGTTCAGAGCAGCTTGATCAGTTGTGGCTAGACAGGCATTCATTTTTCTGCCTTCCTCAATGGCACTTTCTATGAATCACTTCTTGGCTTTTTGTTGTTCTTGCATATATTTGTATATTACTTCCTTACCAGTTTTTTAATATTTTTTTTTCTCTCTATAATACCTCCCAATTTTGATTAACCATGAGGCCTTCTGACTAAGATCAAAGGTTTGAATTTATTCTTCAGTTCAATCTTGAATTATGTTTCATACTCCTTTCTTTCCACTTGATGTACCATTTTGTTGATTTATTTCCGGCTCTGACAAAGTTTAATTCTAGTCCAAGTTTGGTCCAAATCTCTGTCAGCTCCACACCACAACAGCGTCTTATGTCTTGGATGGAGTTTTGATGTCTATTATACACCAGCATGGGGTCCTGAATTTTTGTACTTCAGGGCTTACCTGAATATAATTATGGATGTAATATACCTTTATTTATAATATCATTAAAACATATTTTTTAGAGAATTTTTGTATAGACTTACTATGCTTTTGTAGTTTTACAAAATATAAGAATATAATAGCATTTAGGTATCTGAATCTGTTTAAGCTTTATTGTATAGTAATAAGTAGGTACTTTGTTCTAGTATTAAAAACTCATTAATTCGATTTTTTTTGTAGGTGATGGTAAGATGGAGCTAGCTGAAAACGGGTCCGTAGAAAGCTCTCCTAGTTCTGATTTACTAAATATTTCAGAGGATGTGCAAGCAGATGAGATGACTTCAAGGGACTACTATTTTGATTCGTATGCTCACTTCGGTATACATGAAGAAATGTTGAAAGATGAAGTCCGAACATTAACTTATAGGAATTCTATGTACCATAATAGGCATTTGTTTAAGGTTACCTTTTTTTTTTTTTTTTACTTCTCCATTTTATTGTTATGATTAGAGACTCGATTTTCATGCATTAAAAATCCCTAAAAATGACTTGCAAACAACACAAAATCATGCAGCTTAAACCCAAAGTATGTAAAATTGTGTAATTAACACATAAAAACATGCATAATCATCAACATTTTTTAATTTATAATAATACATCAAAATCTTATCAGATCTTAAGTTAAACGAGAGATAAAAAAAAATTAAAATGTAACACTGAATATGAAATATTAGAGTATAATCAACAAACTATAACAATAAATTGCGATTAACCTGAATCTTAAAGAAAGAGAAATTTGAATAATAATAAGGATTAGGTGAATCTAACATCGATTTAATATCATTTAACAACAAAAAAGTTCAAGACAAAACACAAAACTCTTGAATGAAACATCTATTATTCTTTTTTTCTACAGCATTAAGGTACTATTTCGCTGGCGCGGTCCACGACCGCGACTGCTGGCGGTTGACCACTACTTTAGTGGAATAGAAAGGAACCTATTTTGCTGGCGCTGCTCGGCAGTCTAGGTATGACGTCATATCTAAGCTGCTCGTATCTGACTCCTCTTGAAGCAGTGGAGCTGTTGGCGGTTCGGCGGTTGTAGGTTATGTTATCATATCAGAGCATTGTTTTGATGATAACAGTCCCGTCGATACGTTTTATTTCCTATGTTTCTTTCAAGTCTGGCAAAATTATAACAAATATTGTTTAAAACTGAAATAATGCATAGTAAATTATTTTTTTGAGGTTGAAGTAACAAGATTATTTATTTATTTATTCCACCAGCAATATTTTACAGCGAAATACAAATATACCTAAATCCAAACGATATTAAATAAATTAAAGAATCCAATAAATTTTATCGTCAGGTAAATACTAAGATCCACCCATTGAAAAAACGATTTGTATTTTTTAATTAAAGTGGTGATTTACTGATTACTATTGATAAAACTACAAAAACATCGCTTGCTGAGATTTAATTACAAATATATGATATTTATTACTAACCAATTATGTATTAATTACTATTACTTTTCAAACTAATAATATGTAATATCAGAGGAACTTTGATGATGAGCATCACATCGAAATACTGATATTCCTTCTCTTTATGAACAACATTTTCTCTTCTTTTTCCAACTCAAATAAAAAAGCGGTAGTTAGAGATGTTCATTATTATAGGAAGTTCATTTTTATTCTTATATTATGTCTATCTTTTTATCTTCAAAGATACAGCGAAATGTTCGAAGGTTATAGGCAGGTTATAATAACCCCAGGGAGCAGTTTCAGCGAAATAGGTACGCCAACAGCGATTGGCAGGGGGAAATAGCAGTCGCTGTCGTCGACCGCGCCAGCCAAATAGTACCTTTAGGTCTCAATAATTAACAGACAAATAATCATATTTGTTTAAATTTTCCATAAATCTGTTAATTGGTCAATTGATGTGTAATACAAGATTGTCTGACATACAAGGAATGAAATAATGCAGAAAATTGAATGTTTAAAGGAAGGAATTGTAGGTACCTATATATTATATAGACCAGACCAATTTTAGATATTTAACTTTTATTAAAAATAATAATATTTTTTTTTTAATTTAAAGAGTTTTTAAGAAATTTCAGGAATATTTGAGATTTTCAAGTGTTCAATTATTAGTGTTATAGCTGTTTTTCTTAATCGCTAACAAATATATTTTTGCGGATTATGATCTTTCTAAAAAATTCTTAAGATATTCTTTGCAAGCAATAAACCATTCATTCATTCATTTACTTCTCCCTTTTTTAATGTTAAATTTGATTTTTGCTTGTCACAGAATTATTTACTTTCCTCATATTTGTCTATCTTGCATAATGAATTTAATTTAGACAATATTGTAAAACAAAAAGGTAAATATTAGCACACGCATTTGTATTTAAAAATCATCAAATTTTTCACATAAGTGCAAAAATTTGCAACTTAAACCAAAAATGGCAAAACGTGCAATTTAAAATTTAAATATGTTATTCTACAGATTTTGAAATGGATAGATATTCGGGTCCAAAGTTTTTACATGCAAGGGAATAAAATGTGCAATAACATGGAAATCCGGTCTCTAGTTATGATATTGTATACAAAAATTCTCAGTTAATCATTTCTTCAATTCAAGGAAAACATTTTTTTTTTTTTTTTTTATTGGAAATAATTTGCATCTTTAATCATCAAGGATATTCTCTCACGAATTCCAATACAGATGGAAGTTGGATTTTATTAATGAATTGTGTTATTAAAATAATTAAGACACTTGGCTTTCAGGCAACAATTGTTTCTTTTCCTATTCCATTGAATCTGTAAGACTGGTTTATTATTGATTTGCTTACTTATTTTCCAAACCATTATTTGAATAGCATATAATATACTGATTCATTTGCAACTGCATGGGACTGCCTCCTAGGGAAAATTTTTAATTCATGCTACCTCACAAAATTCTTTTCCCATTCCTTAAAATCTTTTTAGGTTCATTTAAACAACACATCAATTTCTTTAAACTTAAGTGCTTAGAAATTTTTCAGATTTATTGTTTTATTTTTTGAAAATATCAAAGTACCTTTTCTATCAAATTGGAATTTTTTGTTAAAAATAGAACTAATGAGTCATTCTATACCTGCAGGATATTTATTTACTGTTTGACAGTACACTTTTCTGGAAATAATTCAAATAAAACATAGTAAATTTTTAAATGCTATGCAACATTAATTATTTCTGTTCAATAATGGGTTAATCTACTGTGTTTATATGTATAATATTTATTTATTTTTATTTCATTAATATTAATTTGTAGCCCTGATGACCAAAAATGGGTCAAAATGTCGGCTAACTCATTAAAAATATCTTCACTAAAAATCCTGACAATTTTTTTATCTTTAATATTTATTCATGTTTTGACAATTATAACTAAGATAGTAATTATTGTCAGATAATGGGTCATTAAAGTTTAGTGATGTATTAATCCTCTATAATTACGACCTTAAGTTATAATATATAAAGGTCGATTAATAAAAATATTGTAATATTTTAAACAATTATATATTATCAATCTACTGTTCTGTTATGTTTTATGAGTGTTTATATTATACTTAACAAAAATATTTCCTAGAGTGCAAGTTATTTTTCATTTTTCATTATGGCTCATCTTATTATTTTTCTCATGTTCCTATGTATTCACTGACTGGTCCGTCTTGGTTGTTCTAAGCCTATTTATGATTTATATTAATATCTTTTGAATATTTTCCATTTTTACTAAATAATTAGTTTAGTAATAAAACATGTAACATTATCAGTACTTCCTTTTATTGCTGTTATTGTTTTACATCTTGACTCCCAGTGTTTAGGTGTTATTGTATCATCTTCTGGAACATGGTGCTATACATTAACTGCGATTACAATCAATTAGTACTTTTAAGTTATTCCATTTTTATACAAATCAAAACATTATTACTATATTTGTTGACATGTCCATACTTAACTAAATCACTCCTATTTTGTTATTAGATTCACAAAAATTATTTTGCTGTATTTGAAAAACTTATAATTTTATAAAATGAAAGCTATTGTCGTTACTATCATGGTCTTCTGAAGTACATAGAATTGAGCTTACTACCATAATCTGCTAAGCTGGTCCTGTATAAAGTGCTCATACGACCAGTTCTGACATATCGATCAGAAAACATGGATGATGGCAAAGGGCAGTGAGGTAGGGTAGGGACATGAAAGGCTTATAGTTTCTTGTGATATGCGATTATAATGTCCACCCTGAGTATTTAGTTTGCACTAGTCTGCCTATTCAAAGCATGGTGTTGGTTGGGTATGGGTTGGTAAATATGCTCATCTCTGATCTAAATTCTTCTGTTATACCTCTATATAAGAAATTAATATTTAAAGGAAGCATTAATAAAAAAAGAGATAAGATAGTTCTCGTCTTGAAGTCAACCTTTTTTGATTTTTTAACTAGCATAAGTTTGGAACTCCCTTTCAAAATTTGAAACTCTCTTTCTCAGTTTACATGTGTACATGGTATAACTAGTTAGTACACTTTTATTATTTATTTTTTTGAAATTTACAATTATTTTCATTAATATATATAAAACAATAGGTACCTAACAGTATTTTAAATTCTCATTACCCATCTGATTATTATAAAAAATTATGTGCTGCTAATTCTTTTTAGGAGTGGTTTCTAAATTTAACTATTTATAAAAAAATTTCACTACTGTTAATGAAAATTGATAATAAAACAAGGAGCAGCATAATAAAATTAAAATTTGCCATTTAGTTTAAATAATATATTAGCTGTCATTTATTTTTTCTATTTGAAATTCAAATAATAATCTACCTGAAATCTGTGAAACAAATTTTAGGAATGAACTAAAGATGATTTTAAAAGATTGCATGGAAACTTTCTTGATGGCATAAAAGTTAATTAAATCATTAGCCTAGGGAGAGTTGGAACAGAAATGATGCTTTTTCAAATTGTATCTTAAATTATTTTTAGTTTAAAGGTAATATTATGATCATATTTTTAATTTCTATTATATCATCAGTAGGATGTGATAAGGTATGTAAAGAAGACAAATCATTGGGTCACTATTTTCTTACTATTATAAATATTCTAACAATAATCTTGTTATTTGTTTATTCATGTTTTGTTAAAAAGGGGTTTGCTTATCATAACGGGATTAAAATGCATCATTATGGCTAAGTATAGGCTTCTTCGGAGATGTCTATTTTAGAGAACCAAAGAAAATCATAACACCTACTCCTTTTATGACCTGGAAGTTCTCCTGTATTTATGAATCTGTAAAAAGTAGTATAAAGAAGACACCCTCATGACGTACAACTTGGTGACGATGTGAGGGCCTGCTTATACTAAGGTGTGCTTTTAGGGGTTATAATTATATGCTTGTGTATGTAATTATAGTGATATAATTATAATAAGAAAGTACCGGTTTAAAGATTCATCTACTTTACATACCGTAGCTCATCCAACTTAAGATATAAGTTTAAAAGAAAAGCTTTAATAGCAATTCTAAGAAATTATTTTAATATTAGACATTTTAACTAAAAATAATTCAAGATACCATGTGAAAACATATATTACACAGGATTTCACTATTTCTCAGCCATGCCTTCTAGTCTAGAGGATTAAGACGACAAATCATTTAAGGCTTTTGGGGTCTGGGTTCTGGAATGACTACTGTGGAGGCCCGAGAAGCTAGCACCTTTAATACCATATTTGTTAGGAGCTTGGAAGCTATTCAAATTTATATTATCAAGTGTAAAAAAATAACTAATTAGCTAAGACAATTAAAAGACTAGTTAAAGACTGAATGATTGGGTTTTTGCCCAGTCACACAATTATCTACAATCACCACACAAGTTATTTCGAAGCTCTGTAGGCCCCATAATTATGGCATTGAAATTATTTTATTTTCACATACATATAATATGAGGGTCGCCCTTTTATTATTGATGACACGGCTTTTTAAAAGTGAATTGTCATACATAATCAACTCTGCATATTATTTGACAAAATAATTTTAGTGGATATAATGACCAAAAACAAGCAAAGGTTGGTACAGTCTTGCATCTTTCCCACAGCCCTATACACTACTCTAAAGAAATAAGGAACAGGAGAAATTTTGGATACTTTTGATGCAAATAAAACTTTTGAGGAGTATGGTAGGAATTCAAAGAAACTAAAAGATAAGAATCTGAGATATCATTTCCAAAGCAAAAGTAAACTGTGTTTAAGTAAGAAAGCCCAAAAATTGAAATAGAGATAGGTTGGGCATATGGCCAGCCTGTATACGAGAAATGTCAAAAAGCATTACCTAGTAGACTTATAAACCATGTGAGAAGTAGAGGAAGACCATGCATGAGGTGGAGAAATTAAATTATTGTAGATTCAAAACAAACTGGTTGAAAGTGGCCAGGGACATGGGGTGTTGGTTCAAAAATTGTTATGAAATTACAAAAATTATTTTGTCAGAATTTTTAAACAATTCTGGATTACACAATTTTGAATTCTTACTTTAAAATTATGTATTATATTTTCTCTATTTTGTGTTTTATATTTTAGTAAGTGTTATGTTTTTCCATTTGTATTTCCAATATTTGCTCATGGATAATTACATTTTGGAGCTGAACTCCATTATACTTTCTCCAGAAGAGGTTTTTATCTTGAAATATGATGTCAATAAAGCTATGTTATTATTATTGACAAAATAAGTGTGATATAGTTAATTGTGGACATGTCATGAAATATAAATTTTTTAAGAACATATTGTTAAAATTAATGTAAAAATGAAATGATTTAAATTTATGTATTATAAATATACAAATTGATTGTAATCTCAGTTAATGTATTGTATAAGATAACCAGATATTAACATTAGTAAAGCAGGACAGCATTAAACAGAGGGGAGGGAGGGTTCTTGATTAAAAGTATGTTCCAAATTTGTTGTTACAATATTTAATTGTACATGATGATTATCCGGTGCAAATATATTCAGGTACCAAATAGTATTCAGCTGAAATAAGGTTGAGAATGTAGTTTATTCTGAAGACTTTTTTTTTTTTTTTTAGAGCAAATAATTTGATGTCTTATATTTTTATATTCTAATATTCTATTAGATGTCTAATTTATGACTTAAACAGTAACATAATTTTTATGGTTTACATATTTTGTGCCAGCAGTTTTGCTATAAAACTTGTTGAAGGTGAGAAAAGTAGCAAGTTAACCTTCAGATGCCCAAGATTTATCCTTTTCCTTATTTTTTGATAATGATATCTCATTAAAATGATCATTTTTGGATTGTTTACAAAGTCCAAACAATGGTGGACACATTCTTACAACTCATCAACAATGCGAATTTTGATAAGCAGTTCTCAATAATCAGTTTTCACTAATTATTTGTTATTATTGTTAAACATAAAATTTAAAAAAATAATATAAAACTAATATTCTGGCGAAATAAACACATAGCTGCCGAAAATCGTATATTCCTTTATTGTTCTCCTGCCCTTCCATAGCTTGTTGTGCATTCTTTTCAAAAATTGGAGCTTTTTTAAAACGCAGTGGGACAAATTGTCAAAAATCGAGACTGTCACCTTACTATTGTAGTGTACTCCTGGTGTAACTCTGAAAAGTTGAGATGTTAAAGAATGATGCCAAACCATAATAAAAGGAAGTCCTGATAATTTATCGTGTCACCTTCCACACTTCTCTCTCCCCGGCATTCTCTCACCAGCTTCTGATTTTAAGAGTAAAAGCCTTCTCCGTCATTTGTCATCTGCACTCACTCTATTTATCTATCTCAGCTTTCCACTTTCCCTTTTCCTTTTCCTTTTGCCATAGTTATGAATTATTAGTGTGTTGTGTTATTAATTGTATTTTTTATGGCAGGACAAAGTTGTGTTGGATGTAGGGTGTGGAACTGGAATTCTTAGCATGTTTGCAGCTAAAGCAGGAGCCAGAAAAGTCATAGGTATTGAGTGTTCTAACATTGTTGAGTATGCAAGGCGTATTGTTCAAGACAACGACCTTTCAGATATAATAACAATAGTCAAAGGAAAAGTTGAAGATGTCACACTACCGGATAACATTGATAAAGTAGATGTTATAATATCGGAATGGATGGGGTGAGTAAATATGTAATCAACTTTCTAAGCCCTTGTCAGTTTTGATTAATTTCTGTCTATCTGATGGGGTGAGTAAAATATGTAATTATCTTTCTAAGTCCTTGTCAGTTTTAATTAATTTCTGTCTATCTCCTTTTATTTCACTGAAATAGTTATAATTAATATCTGATTACACTAGAGTTATGTGTATCTGTCTATATATATATATATATATATATATATATATATATATATATATATATATATATATACACGCACACACACACACACACACACACATACACATACACATACACAACTAATAATAATTAAACAAAAATATTGATATTTTGGGCCTCAATGAATTTTTGAAAGAAGATGAGGAGATAGTTATTCTTAAATTCAAGACTTAGATTTGTTGTAGTTTTAATAGCAACAATTAAATATTTATAATCGGTTGAGGAAAAGGTAATTTCATTTTTTTTTTTCTTATTTTCAAAATGTATTTATTATTATAAATTTCAAACACTAACCAATGATATATGTGCTGTTTTGATCGATGACTTTTTGCCACTTTTCTGGTAAAACCATAAGAAGTTCTGAGATTTCTGGGCAAAAACCTGAACTGAACCAAGTGATTTCCACAATCCTCTTTTGATGCCAGCTTTACTCCATTAAGAGAGTTCTGCAGAGAACAAAACAAATGGTGAGATGGTGCAAGATTCGGGCTATACGGTGGATGCATCTAAACTTTCCATCCAAGGTCTCAATTTTTGCTGGATCATTAAAGGTGTGTATGGTCTAGCATTGTCTTGGCGAAAACTGCCTTTCCTATTAATCAATTCTGGCCATTTTTCTTGGAATTGCTTGCTTCAATTGCAACAGTTGTTCACAGTAGATAGTTAAATTAATGGTTTGGCCAGGTTCGAGCCACTCGTGATAAAAAATTCCTTTCCTCTCTCACCAAACACTCAGCAACTCCTTCTGTATTGTCAATCCAGGTTTTGTCACTTTATATTCTATTATTATCAGAGCCAACATTTTCCACATCTATGATGCATCTTCTAACGCACGTTTTATGTTTAAAAAGGCTATCTGATCAGCCTAACTTCAGCTCCCGCTTGTACTTCTTTGTCATTTCTTGCCACATTACCATCCCATATTTCTCCTTTAGTTAATGATGAAATTCTATAAAAGTTTATATTTAACTCTTTTTATTACTAGTTGCAATGTGAAATGATCAATTATTTTTAATAAACAAACTCAATGGTACTTGAGAAAAAGAAATTTTGAAAAATTGGCTTTTAAATCATGTTAGATTATTTAAATGATAATAATACCTGTCTAATATCAAAGACCTCTTCACATTAATCTAATAAATTCATTCAAAATCATTAATGTTTCAATATAGTAAAATATTAAAAACAAATAACAGTGTTATTCTTAATACATATATATTTTTTAAAAGTTTTCTATCGGGTAATAATGTTTATTTTTTGATAATTAAACATTTCGGCCGTTTTTTTTTTTTTTAAAGAGAATACCAATAAAAATCAATTAACTTAGGTTAACATCTTTTGTTCCTTATATGTATCATTTACTGTTATTCCGTCAAACTCTTGTGGTAGTGACATTACATATGTTATCTTTTTTAGGGAATATTATTCGTTATTATGGCAAAATCGATCATTCTTTTTTCAGTTTCACTCTCACTTGAAGCTATGAAATGTCAATACAATTAATAAAACAAGAAAATAATCTAGGTTTTATCTGTTCAACTTACTGTCACTATGGTATCAATCAATCATCCAGAAATAACCACATTCATATTTAGCAGATAAAAGAGCGATATACAGATATTTTGCCCTTTCTTTCCTAGCTGTCATAAACAATACGGTATTGCTTAGGAAATTCTCCAAACCGCTGAATGTACTTATATTTTTTTTCATGTGTTATTTGCCATAGTCTATTACCAAAAAAAACTATATATATATATATATATATATATATATATATATATATATATATATATATAATCTTTCAGCTTTATTTCATCGAGACTATTGTAGTTTCACTTGGAATATTCTTTTTATTGCTGAACGGCCATTTCAGTCAATTGTATTGGGATCGACCTGTATAAATATGTAAGCTATAGCTGTTAGCCTTATTTTTTTTTTTTTTTTTTAGAAAAAAAAAACTTTATTCTGGGACTAAGTCCCTTCAGAATAACAATAATGTAAAAAATAATAGAATATTACTGGCCTGAATGTTGAAACAATAAATAAAATTGATAAAATAAAATAAAAAGTAAAGAAAACCTTAGGTGTACAAGCTATATACAATACAGATAAAACTATGTACAGAGCATTTAAAATTATGAACAAAACAATTAAAACAATGAACGAATCACTTGAACTATGAACAAAATTATATTTAAGGGTTGAACAACATAAACATACACTTTGAGAAATGAAGAACGAAAAAGAGATACAATGAGTTCATTTCATAAAACAAAAAAAAAAAAACTTTACTTGAATATATATATAAAAATAAACAGTTACTTATAATTGACTTAAAAAAAAAATGTATGTATTGAAATTCCTACGTCGATAGTAGGAAATGCATGTACTATCTCTTACCAAGTGTTATGATTATATGATTGCTACACAATACATATATAATATTAATCGTTAGCTGGTATCAGACTGTTTTTGGAACAGGAATTGGAATAGGAGGTTTTTGAATGTATACAGGGAAGGGGCATGTCGAATTTTGATCGGGAGGGAATTCCAAAAGTTGACAGAGCGGGCTATAAAGGAATTTTGGAATGAGGCAGATCTATGAGAAGGGATGTATAGGTCAGAGGGTCGGGATCTTGTAGTGAGTGAATGGATTGAGGACTTAAATTGGAGAAGGTTGTAGGCATAAGAAGGACGATGATCGGTAATGATTTGATAAAGGAAAGTGCCAAGGAAATATTGTCTTCTTAAGGAGGGGAAGAGCCACCCTAACTCAGTGTAGTGGTGGGAGACATGGGAGCGTCTCGGGGTTCCAATTACAAATCTTACGAAGCAATTCATAAGTCTTTTGAGTCTATCACGCAGTTCCACCGAGAGGCCATCGTACACCACACAGCTGTAGTCAAAGTGGGGAAAGATGAGAGAGGAAACTAGGAGTCTACGGGTATTTTAGGGTAGAAGATGGCAGAAGTGATGGAATAGTTTGAGGGTAGAAATTGCACGGCGGGATATATGAGAGATATGGTGATTCCAGGAAAGGGTTTGATCTATGAGAAAGCCTAAATTTTTAACAAAGGGATAGAAGGTGATGGGGTGGTTGTTTAGATAGAGTGAGGGAAAGTTAATTAGTTATCAGGATTTAAGTTAAGGAAGTTAAGGGAAATTTTATCAGGATTGGTTAAATTTCACTTAAAATGTTTCACTTATTGCTGAAATGAAAGTTTTAATTAGTTGACCTTGACATATGTATATATTTCAAGAACTGATGTATTGTCTTTGTTTTCTTTCTGCCGGTTTTGTTACTGTTTCACTTGAAATATTTGACTATTTCAATTATTGCTGAATGGTCGTGTCAATCAATATTTTAGGGATTGACGGATGGAGAAATTATATCAGATACCGAAATTTCAATGATCAATATATCTGGCTATCTATCTATTTTTTTTTTTTTACCTGTTCACACATGGATAAAAAGCAGTTCAAGGTACTCCTAAGTTGCAGGCTATAACGTTACACCGAACTTCCTTTAAAATTGTAATAAGTGGGAGGGTAAGACATATTTTTAAAATAAAAATACCAAACATTTCGACATGCCAATTCAATACCAATAAGGAAGAGTAAATGTCATTACTTTTTCTTTTAAGAGAACATCTTAAGATTTATGGTTCAGGTCGAAATCATCTAAACCACAATGTAGTTGTATTTGTCAATGAAATTTGAGCAATAAACAAACTTTTTAGTTTTCTTTTCATAAACAATCCAAATCCATTTGGATTTTTTTATTGGGAAAAGTCTATGAATGCAATTTTAGAAGCTAATGTTTTAAAAGTTAATGTTAGAAATCACTAAAAAAATTTTGTCTTATCTTTACTAATAAAAATAAATATTATAGTAATAAAAATAATTAAAAATGAATACATAAAAACAAAATCGATAGAAAATGTGACGCTACCTACAGTGACCTTATTGTAATTCAGAAACGAGAATAAAATAATTTCCCCTTATAAATCTCACTATAACATTCTAAAAATATCTATAAAAAAAGCATAAGTTGAAATTAAACATCTACTTTTGTTATTGGGCATTACGTTTTTCATCTCTTTCAATTTCCTCTACAAGTGTAATTTTAATCCAGCAAGAATACCATGAAATTTTTTTAACCCAATACAAAAAAAAGTTTGAGAACCACTGGTCTATAATATAGCACATACACAAGGAACCTATTTTATCATTTTAGCCATTTTTATTAGACAAATATACAACAGATAAACGTATGTATGTTTATATATATATATATATATATATATATATATATATATATAACTTTATTTAAAGTTATTCATATATGTATGATTTGTACAAGATTGTGAAATAATCTTTAACAAATAAATTCAATTCAATATACACTGACAGGCAAAAAATTCCACTCACTTGATTTTTTCATGTTTTCATCTAAAAATATTTCTGCTTTGGATTGGTCTATTGTTTTTAATGAATAAATAGGTAATCTTTTGGTTTGTTTTCAATTAGGAATGTTAATATAGAGGACAATAATCCTTAATCCTCAATTCAATGAAATGATTCTAGATTCCAATGTTTACTTTCTTTGGAATCAAAATGTTTATTCAGTATCATTAGTTCAGTGCCGTTTCTTGCAGCACATTTCTTAGTCTCCGGCTTTTAATTTTTTCAATATTAAGTTTAAAAATGCCTCTTAGTGCTGAGGATGTTGCGCGTGGTGTGGGACTTATTGATGATGGACGTTCCATTAGATATGCAGCT